GAACTGAGAAAAAGTGCTACATTTTAGATAGGTAAGTAGGTGGGTGGGTAGGTCGGTAGGTAGGTAAGTAAGTGGGTGGGTAGGTGGGTAGGTGGATAGGTGGGTAGGTGGGTAGGTGGGTAGGTATAGTAGGTAGGTAGTTAGGTAGGTAGATGGGTGGGTAGTAGGTAACATATAACGGTGACCGCAGTTTTAACAAAAGAATTTCCTTCAAGGACTGGAGATAAGTGCTACATTTTTAACTACTTGAATCTTATACACTGCGAGCAATCCCACGTTTCCCTCCAGTCTCAGTAAAGACGAGTTTTTAGAATATCGAGCGAGGATTCCTGTGGACGCACGGAGATTGGAGCTTTTCGTCTCCCTGCGTGACGCTCCAAAAATTAGCCCCCACCCAGAGCTTCCAAAACAGGGGGAAAAAACCCAATTGACTGATTTAGGAGGGAAAAGTTGAATTTTTAACAATCTAGAATCTTAAACTCCCGCCCTCATCATAGGGTCAGGGGTAGGAGGCTGGAGATTCACATGTGACTAGTGCATAACGCAAGCTATGTTAGAATTTTAAAGCACAAAATGAAGAGGTAATTCTTAGGCTATGACGCCACGAAGAGCTTAGTGCATGCTTTTGTCACAGCCAAACTTGATAATTGCAATGTACGGCCTATCCAAGAATTCACTACAGCGTCTCCAATATGTTTTGAACAGTGCTGCAAGGCTTTTCACGCTATCACGTAAATCAGAACATTTAACTCCACTACTGAAAAAACTACACTGGTTTGCAATTGAAAAGCGCGTTCAAATTAAACTTCTGCTTTATACATACAAAGCAGTAAATGGCTTAGCTCCGGTGTACCTGAAAGAATTGCTACATCCATACACACCAAGACGCAACCTTAGATCTACCGACAAGTGTCTACTCACACACCAAGTTATAATCCCAAATCATATGGCTTCCGTGCTTTCTCAGTCTTTGCACCAAGACTATGGAACGCTATACCTATTCATATTAGACAGACTTTTTTATTTAAAGAAGCTTTCTGCTGATTCCTTTGAATCCTCGCACTGATTTTTTATATCATTAAATTATTGCTATATCATTGATTAACAGCAATTGATGAGCACTTCCTGGATTCGCTTGGATAACTGCGGCATGGAGGTTTCTGAGTCGAGTAAACTCGATTCGTGTTGTCCAGGCTAGTTAGGGAAGGGTCTATGTATCTATTATCTGATATTATAACTAGACAATATCTTTTTAGTGTTAATTCTTTATGATAGTATTATGTCTATAAGCTAAAAGAAACATTGAATAGATAATTAAGTTTAGATTAGAATACGGTTATACGCCATAGTTACTCATGTTGGATAGTCAGAGACAATTGCTATCTCTAATGTAAGAAATAAGGGCATCTAATATTTAAAGACGTTTTTTCTTCCGATTTTTGTGCTGGGCCTATTTGTTTTTGGTGAGTTAGGTATGATCGGAATTGAGTGTTACGAATGCCATTGGTGGACCTCGTCATGATTGACATTGGTGAAACACGAGGTGAAAATGCACGTTGAGATCTGTAAGATCGGGACACGGAGGAGGTGAAAGAAGTTGAACATATGTGGTTTTCGTGGTAAGAGTGCCTTAATCCAACTYACTTTAAACTTAATTTGGTAGTATTCTAAGCAGATAATTAGAAACTGGAGCTAAATTAGAAACTTTAAGTGCGATTTTTGTTTTTTGATACAACTCGAATTAGTTACGTAAACAAAAGATTGTAAATGGACAG